GAGGAATCCCAAAGAAACATAAGAAAAACCCCAAATCCAAACCAAGGGACATTCTACAAAATAACTGGCTTGTAATCCTCCAAAGTGTCAAGGTCATGAAAGACCAAAAAAAACCAACAACAACAACAAAAAAACAAAACAAAACTATAGGTTAACCCTACTGAGGTTATGTCTTGATTTTAACAATTGCACTGTTAATTTAAAACGTTAACATTGGGGCGCCTGGGTGGCTCAGTGAGCTAAAGCCTCTGCCTTCGGCTCAGGCCATGATCCCAGGATGGTGGGATTGAGCCCTGCACGTGACTCTCTGCTCAGCAGAGAGTCTGCTTCCCCTTCTCTCTGTCTCTGCCTGCCTCTCTGCCTACTTGTGATCTCTCTCTCTGTCAAATAAAATAAATAAAATATTAAAAAAAAATAAAATAGGGGCGCCTGGGTGGCTCAGTGGGTTAAGCCTCTGCCTTCAGCTCAGGTCATGATCTCAGGGTCCTGGAATCGAGCCCCGCATCTGGCTCTCTGCTCAGCGGGGAGCCTGCTTCCCTCTCACTCTCTGCGTGCCTCTTTGCCCACTTGTGATCTCTCTTTCTCTCTGTCAAATAAATAAATAAGTATCTTTAAAAAAAAAAAAAAAGGAAACAGCTGGTACCACCGGAGTATGACGTAACCAAGGGTGACGCCCTAGAGAAAGGACTCCAGTGGGGCGGGCCATGCTGACCTCAAAGATTTCTGAGGAGTTGCGGAGCCTGGGTTGGCTCAATCGGTTGAGAGTCTGACTCTTGGTTTTGGCTCAGGCCATGATCTCAGGGTGGTGATCTCAGGGTCGTGAGATTGAGCCCCGGGTAGGTTCTTTCCCTCTCCTGCTCCCCCATGCCCTCGCACATGGGCTCTCTCTCTCTAATTAATTAATTAATTAATTAAACAAATTGAATAAAGATTTCAGAGAAGGGGTCATCTGCAGAATGGTTATGCCAGAGGAGAGATGTCTGAGTAGAGCTCATCTCTAAGACAGGAAGAAGTGATGAAAACAACAACGACAAAAAACTACATCAGAGGGTTTTTTGGGGTTTAAAAAAAAGTCAGTTCTTAAATCTTCATAAATTATTGTTGTTGTTTTTTTTTAAAGATTTTATTTATTTATTTGACAGAGAGATCACAAGTAGACGGAGAGGCAGGCAGAGAGAGAGAGAGAGAGAGAGAGAAGCAGGCTCCCTGCCAAGCAGAGAGCCCAATGTGGGACTCGATCCCAGGACCCTGAGATCATGACCTGAGCCGAAGGCAGCGGCTTAACCCACTGAGCCACACAGGCGCCCTAAATTATTGTTTTTTTTTAAATATTTTATTTATTTATTTGACAGAGAGAGATCACAAGTAGGCAGAGAGGCAAGCAGAGAGAGAGGAAGCAGGCTCCCCGTCGAGCAGAGAGCCCGATGCAGGGCTCGATCTCAGGACCCTGGGATCGTGACCTGAGCCGAAGGCAGAGGCTTTAAACCACTGAGCCACCCAGGCACCCCCATAAATTATTTTTTTAAAAAATTTTATTTATGGGGCGCCTGGGTGGCTCAGTGGGTTAAAGCTCTGCCTTCGGCTCAGGTCACGATCCCAGGGTCCTGAGATCGAGCCCCGCATCGGGCTCTCTGCTCGACGGGGAGCCTGCTTCCTCTCTCTCTGCTTGCCTCTCTGCCTACTTGTGATCTCTCTCTGTCAAATAAATAAATAAAATTTTTAAAAAAAGATTTTATTTATTTATTTTTGAGAGAGAGAGAAAGAACATGAGCAGGGGGCTGGTGCCAGAGGGAGAAGCAGACTCCCCGCTGAGCAGGGAACCTGACAAGGGACTCGACCCCAGGATCCCGGGACCACAACTCCAGCCAAAGCAGGCTCCCCATAAATGATTAAAAGCGTTCCGACCCGTGTTCCTGCACATTTGCTGCCTTCTCAGGTTGTGTTGACCGGTTGAAGCTGCTGAAATGGGAATGCTCCCTTGTGCTCTTCAGACGTTACGCACTTGTTACCCTGGGCAAACTACCCATTGGCCTCTCTTGTGACCTCGACGTCACAGATAAGAACTGGGTTAAGCCTTAGTCTGGGTAGATCCAGAGGACAGAACTAAGCCAATGGCAGCCAATTAGAAAAACTGTAACAGCGCAGTGAGCTGTGAGGAGAAAAGTATTCTGAAAGCTCCTTCCAACTCAGTAGTTCACTAAGCTTTTGGGGTTGTTTTTTTTTTTTTTCTGTTAAATGTTCATAGCATTTACTTCATATGGCTGCTGTGAGGATGACGGGCGACAAAGTACATAAAAGTGCCTGACGCAGAAGAGCTGTTCTGCCTTTATTTGTCGAGTATCAGACCGCGAAATAGACCAAGAAATCCCAAGGAAGTACCAGCCTCAGCCACTAGAGGGGGGTCCGCATCACACTCCCTTTGAAACAGACAGACGCAGCTTGACGTGGGAGGCACCACTCCCCGCGACGCGCCACCAGCCTTTCCTCTGCCGGGAAACTCGGTCCGCTCAGAAAACCTGGCTCCATGCTGAACTCCACGGTGCTTTCTCTGAGTCAGTATATTCTCCCACAGTTGCAAAATGATCTGGCAAAAGTCCCTCAAAGGCTTTTACTGCTTACTGAGTAACATCCAAACTCCCTGGGCCTCCCTCAATCTGGCCCCAAGCTGCCCCTCCCGCCTGAACTCCCTTTAATCCTTTATCCTGCAGCAGCGCGGGGCAAGCATGCTCTGTCTCTATGCCGGGACTCACGCTGCTCCTCCTTCTTGATGCCTTCCCTCTATGCCGACCTTCCCAGACCCTACTGCTTTCTCCATCATGCAAATGCTATCTCCTCCTTAACTCTCTTCTCACTTCTCTAAGAAAGAGTGATCTCGGGGCGCCTGGGTGGCTCAGTGGGTTAAAGCCTCTGCCTTTGGCTCAGGTCATGATCCCAGAGTTCTGGGATCAAGCCCCGCATTGGGCTCTCTGCTCAGCGGGAAGCCTGCTTCTCTTCCTCTCTCTCTGCCTACGTGTTATCTCTGTCTGTCAAATAAATAAATAAAATCTTAAAAAAAAAAAAGAAAGAAAGAGTGATCTCACGAACCCTGAGCTCACCCACCACACAGGACATCCATTTATCTTGTATTACATTGATTTATTCAATGTACACGTGCATCTTTTCATTCAAATAGATTAGAAACTCCATGGGTAGAGACCTCCATGGGTAGAGACCAGAGGGTCATCTCTCCAGGGTAACGGAGCGAGTAAGTGGTAAAGACAGGATTCTAACCCAGGAAATCCAGAGAGCTCTTGCTCTTACCCACTAATTCACAACCACATAGTAATCTTTCATCAGCCACAGTGCCTAGCTCAGAGCTTTGCACACAGTTCTACTTGATAGCTTATCAAATGAATAACTAAAAACAAAACAAAAAAAACGAAACCAAAAACCTCAAGCATTGATCTAATTAGCATCTTTTAAACCTTCACTGACTTGTAGGCTATTGGGAACCAGCAGCAACTCGGTCTCATTAATCTGCATTAGAGTGCCTGGTTGTAGATCTAATTATGAGTAATTTCAGAATCATAATTACTGTTCCATTTGGTCTCTCGATCTGTAATACATATAAGGATCCACTCCTAGCTTCTAATGGATTAAAAAAAAACAAAAACAAGCAAACAAAAAAAAAAACCCAAAAAAAAGAAAACATAATTACTTACTGAAGCCTGGTAGGTATGTTTTGTGAAGCTTCCAGCTCACATCTTCTCTGTGAAGTGAGGGGGATGGACTGATGGTCTCGGAGGGCCCTTTCTTCAGTGGCTAACAGTCTATGAATCTGGGAGAGTGAATGGAATTACAAAGAGCCTCTGCCTCTGTGTCAGAAGATATCATTTTGAGTCTCAACTCCCCAACACAGGGTCCCCATCTGTAAAATTTGATACATCTAGTCAAAAGTCTGAATGTCTGAATGCCAAGTACAAGGGGGATACAGTAATGAGCAAGATAGATGCGGCCCCTGCTTATTCTGCTAAGAAAATCCGATGACACCTAAAACGGGTTGTCCTACGTAAAAAACTCAGTGGATCCAAGCATGGTGTAAACTACCAGGTCTAGTACCCAATCAAAAGATGATGATCTTGCCAGGATTCCAGTTATGCCAAGTCCACGACAACAAAAACGTTACCTATTTTGCTGTTTTGGAGAATAGCATGATAGTGTATTTTAGCCAAACCTAGTCAACCCTGCAGGCAGCTTTCCCACCTTTCTGGGGCAGTTCCACGGAAAGGTGGGCGGAGGTTATCTGTCCTCACTTCCGGCACTGTCCAGTTGCTGGCGGAGGCCAAGTCCCTAGCCCAGCCTTGCAGGCTCTGTCAGAAAGCCATGAGGCTGGGGGTCTGGACCCGTGGGTTCTCCAGCTCTTAGTCACCAGCCCGGGCTCAGGCTTCATTCACTGTCCTCATCTGTGAAAGGCAAGCCACTTGGGTAAAGAGGCCATCTCCCACGCCACTAGGAAATACCGACGGGACCGCTTTATCATCGGGCCGGGCCTGGCTTAGGGTGGCCCCACCCCAGAGGGCTGCTGAGGGTTCCCTTGGGGTTCCACGTGGAGCCCCGGGGCCACAACTCGGGCTGCAGCAGAGCCGGGGGCCCAGCCAGGTGACTCTGTCCTAGTCCCCACTCTCGCACACACTTGCTGGGTGGCTCTGGGGAAGGTCACCGAGGGGCCTGCCGGCTGTTCTGCATTCGACGGGAGGGCTTGGACCGTCTCCCGACCGCCCTGGAAGCCCCTAGGCTGCCTGGAGCAGACGGAGCGGGCGGGATTACCGGGGACCACGACTGCAACAGCAGAGGGTGAACCGGGAGCGCGCGGGCGCAGGTCACGTGGCGGGCGCGGGGGCGCGCGGGGGCGGGGCCTGGTGCGCACCGCTCCGCTGCTGGCGGGTCGGGCGGGAAGGGGCGGGGCCTCGGGCGGGGCCGCCGAGGGGGGGAGGCGGGCGGGCTGGAGGGGAGGAGTGGAGATGGCGGCGGGGGCGGCCCGGGGGGGCGGGGGGGGGGGGCCCGGGGGTCTCGGGGGAGGTGGAGGTAGTGAAGGGGCAGCCGTTCGACGTGGGCCCACGCTACACGGAGCTGCATTACATCGGCGAGGGCGCGTACGGCATGGTCAGGTGAGGGGGCGTTCCGGAGGAGAGGGCTCGTGGGTGGGGGGCCGGGAGAGATGATGAGTGCCTTCTGGGCAGCAGGGGAGACTTCCAGTGCCCTGAGGAGGCGGGGGCTTCACGGGACTGGGGGGCGTTCCACGGAGGGGGCCTTGGGGTGCTTTCTGGAGGAGGGGCGCCTTGTACGTTCTAAGGGAGGGGGCTTGGAGGCCCGAGAAGCGACCATTCTGTAAAGCCGGGAGGGACATCTAAGTGTCTGCGTGGGAGCTGAGTGGCCCTTAGGGACCTTAGGAACACGGGATGAGGCAGAGACACAGTATTCTTAGGGAGGTGATACCCTTAGTGAGGACCGAGTGAAGGACCCTACTCTGGGGAGAGGATGCCTTGGATTCTCCCAGTGAGGCCTGCCAAGGAGTTTAGGAGAGAAGAGCAGAGCTCAGGGCTGGGCAGGGTAGGGCAGGGCTTTGGGCCTGGTGCCAGGGGCCCAGTGAGCCATGAGGGGTCCAGGAATGTGTCCTTGCAACTTTTAGGAGGGGTCTGTGAGCTCTCTCTCATGCCCACTGTGTGCTCTGGGCCTTTGTTCATCTGAGAACAGCTCTCTTGCCTAGGTGCCTCGCCCTCACACCGGTGTCCACCTCATCCCTCCTATCCTGTCCCTCCTCAATGTGTCTGCCTCACTGTACCTCCTCCACTCACCTCCCACTCCCTGGACCTGTCTTGGGTTGAGAGAGCCCATCCTGGAGAGGGGAGGCTGAGAGGTCAGGGCAACTAGAATGGACAGGGTTGAGGAGAGGGGAAGTCAGTGAGCGGTCAGTCTCTTCCTCTGTTTGTGAAGTCACTGAAGGGCCGCCTGGCCCAGCTTTCTCCCTGGAGATCCCAGGCCTTCACAGCAGGAAGGAACCAGCATTGTTTATGACTTGGCCAGAATCCTCTACTGCTCCCTCCCCTCCCTGCTCAGGCCTGGGTGGGGCCACCAGGCCTGGACTCCCCCCCCCCGGCCCCCCCCATGTAAGGCCACACCAACATCTCCTCTCTGGTCCTCTCAGCTCAGCTTACGACCACGTGCGCAAGATTCGCGTGGCCATCAAGAAAATCAGCCCCTTCGAGCATCAGACCTACTGCCAGCGCACACTGCGAGAGATCCAGATCTTACTGCGCTTCCGCCACGAGAACGTCATTGGCATTCGGGATATTCTGCGGGCGCCCACCCTGGAAGCCATGAGGGATGTGTATCCTTCACCTTGGCCAGATGGCTGGCCAGGCATGGCCTCAGAGCTGGGCTGGGAGAGAGCGCTGGCTTGCTTTCTGTTTCCTTCTTCCCTGCCACACTCCAAAACAAACTCAGTAAATGAAACTTTCCAGCAGGAAAGAGACCACAGGGTGTAAGAGGGCTGGGAGGCCCGAGGTGAATCCTGGCTTGGTGAATCCTGGCCTGTGGCAGCCAGGCCATGTGCCCTTGGGCGAGTCTGTTCTCTGTGCTGTGCCTCATTTGGGGGGAGGGTGGGGAGGGGTTCTATGGGACCTTTGTCTTTTGACATCTGCAGTTCTGTGACATGACCCGGCCTCTGCCCACAGTCCTTGTTTAACAGACGATGATTCTTTCCTCTCCTGGTCCCCAGACTGGAAGGAAGGCAGAGAGGAAGAAGACTGCCCATTTCCGAGGGCCTACTATGAGTGAGGGCCAGCGAATGTCAAGTGCTTTGGCATTTCTTATTCTCTCTCCCAGCTGCTGTAGGAGATCGGTCTCACCAGCTCCATTTCAAAGATGAGGACACTGAGGCTCAGTAAGCCTGAACTCATTGGCTGCTGTGGCTGCCTCCTCTAACCTTCCCCCAGATGAGAACTGTCCTTTCTTTGACACTTCCTGCTCAGGGCCTCACCCCCGTCACCTGTGGACTTGCACTTTGCCCAGGGAGGGACAGCCTTGCCTTTGTCGCCCTCCCCCCACCTCCCACCCGACACTGCTTCCCTAGCTGGGCTGGTTGTCCACTTCCTGCCAGGCCCTGTTGTCAGTGGCTTGCAGCACCCATTACCTCTCCCCACCCGAGGCAGTCCCAGTTCTCCACCCAGATATGGGGATTTGTGCAGCACGGTCTGCGAGCCCCCACCGCAGGCTGTGGGCAGGAAATCTCCACACTCGCCCCCAGCTCGCCATGGGACCTTAAGCGAGTCACTGCATCTCGCTGGGCCTCCTCTCCTCTAAAACAAGCAGGATTGGTCCAGACTCTTCAGAAGGCCCTTTCCGGGGCTGATTCTAAAACACGGTCCAGATGCACCATTTCAGAGACCCAGCAAATGGCATTTATTTACTTACTTACTCACTTACTTAACGTATGTTTAATCTTTGTTTTCTCCTAAAATACAAAAGGACATTTACTCCTCCATCTTCTGATGTGTGGCCAAGCCCTCTTGAAGGAGGAGCGTGCTGTTGGGAGTTCTCTCCTCATTTGTCTTGCCCAAAGCATCCCCATAAGGCAGGCGTTTATTTTTAAGCAAACATTTATTGCATGCCAGATGGCGTTCGCACTATCTCATTGAACCCTCTCCACAGCCGTGTGGCTCAGGCATTTCTAACAGCAACACTAGTCCGTGTTTGCTGAGCACTTAAAAGATGCCAAGCCCTGGGCCAGGCTGGCTGACATAACGGGTCATCTCACCGAATCTTCAGGACTGCTCTCTAAAGAACCATGCTTTCCCTTGCTTTCCACATGGGGCAGTGGAGATGTAGACAGGTTCAGGTCCTAAGGCCAGTGAGCAGTGATTGGCGGGGGAGGGGGTGGCTTAGACAGCAGCAGAATAAACCCCAGAGCTGTTGCTTTTAACTGTGAAGCTCTTTTGCCTCCTACAGTTTTCCCAGTAGGGAAACTGAGGCCACAGAACTGAAGTACTTTCATTCAGTGCCACCACCCGAGGTGTGGCATAAGCCCTGAGCCCAGGGGCTGAGTCTGGGCCATGTACAGTCATGGGACGGGCTGGCAGATCCATGGAGTCTCAGGGGCAGTGGCTGGAAGGGGGGGTGGAGGCTAGCCACCAGAGCCTGTTCTTCTTAACCAAGTGCCCCCCACGCCCCGCTCCCCGGGGGTCTCGGGTGCCACCCTCAGCTACATTGTGCAGGACCTGATGGAGACTGACCTCTACAAACTGCTCAAAAGCCAGCAGCTGAGCAACGACCATATCTGCTACTTCCTCTACCAGATCCTGCGGGGCCTTAAGTATATCCACTCGGCCAACGTGCTCCACCGGGATTTAAAGCCCTCTAACCTGCTCATCAACACCACCTGCGACCTTAAGGTCAGAGCACTGGGTGCCTGTCCCCTCCTCCCAGGGCTCCGGGGCTTCCAGGTGACCGGGAGCCCCCTTGAATAGAACCTCACGAGCAAAGGGAACAGTGCGGGCTGAGACGTGGCAATAGGACTGCTTGGGCCCTGGGGCTTGGGCAGCGACCTTAGTAGCCTGGGTTGGCTTCCAGATCTGCGATTTTGGACTGGCCCGGATTGCCGATCCCGAGCACGACCACACTGGCTTCCTGACAGAGTATGTGGCCACACGCTGGTACCGGGCTCCAGAAATCATGCTTAACTCTAAGGTAGGGGGACCACCCACACCTGAAGGGAAGGGGCCAGGTCCCAGGCAGCCCTGGAGCCACCTCTGAGCCAGGCATGACCCCCAGGATCCAGGCCTTGTCACAAGACTCCAGCTGTTAGGCTCTGGAAGGAGGCCAAGCATTAGGTCCTCCAGGCCTCTGCCCTCTTCCTTCCTGCTGGTTTTGAGTCTAGATGGAGTAGTGGCTTCGCCCAGACAGCAGGGCCCTGTTGAGGCCGGCCCAGGAGCCCACTGCTTTCTCCTCCTCCCCAGGGCTACACCAAGTCCATCGACATCTGGTCTGTGGGCTGCATTCTGGCTGAGATGCTCTCCAACCGGCCCATCTTCCCTGGCAAGCACTACCTGGACCAGCTCAACCACATTCTGGGTGAGGGGAGGCCTGGCCAGCTATGTGGGGGGGAGACTAGTGGGAGGTGAGGTTTCTTTAGAACCCTCCTACAGAGCCCCTCCAGCATCTCACAGGATTTCAGTGAGACACAGACACAAACCCCCTTCGATAGATAGGAGACAGCAAGGCTACACCGCACACTTTGAAGGGCTCACATCAGGATTTGAACCCGGGGCTGCCCACATCCAGACCCCTTGCATCACAATAATACAGGCTGGGCGATAACGGTCAGGGCTCAGAGCTCATCGGTGCGGACTCTCGGTCTGGGTCCCTCCCGTTCCTGGACCAGAGAGGAGGGCTCTCACCAAAGCCCCTGCCTTACCCACAGGTATCCTGGGCTCCCCATCCCAGGAGGACTTGAACTGTATCATCAACATGAAGGCCCGGAACTATCTGCAGTCTCTGCCCTCCAAGACCAAGGTGGCCTGGGCCAAGCTTTTCCCCAAGTCAGACTCCAAAGGTGAGCAAGACACGGGGACTGGTACCGGATAAAAGCTCGGGGCGGAAGAGGGCCCACGCGCCAAGCCACTGCCTCAATAGACAGGACCCCGGGCACGAGAAGTGAAGCGAGTTCCTCCACTTGGAACTCCACTGGGAGTTCCTCTGGCCTTCTCTCTGACCCCTGACTCCTGCCCTTCCCTAGCCCTTGACCTGCTAGACCGGATGCTGACCTTCAACCCCAACAAACGAATCACAGTGGAAGAAGCCCTGGCTCACCCCTACTTGGAGCAGTACTACGACCCAAGTGATGAGGTGGGCTGGCCGTCAGCAGGGGGCGCTGGCGGGGGGAAGGGGGGCGGCCTTCGGTCCTGGCCTGAGTCTGACCTCTGCCACCCCAGCCAGTGGCCGAGGAGCCTTTCACCTTCGACATGGAGCTGGATGACCTACCCAAGGAGCGGCTGAAGGAGCTCATCTTCCAGGAGACAGCCCGCTTCCAGCCTGGGGCGCTGGAGGCCCCCTAATCTGGACAGACACTTCTGTTCCTGGGGGCCTGGTGAGTGCTCCCCACTGCCCATGCACGGGTTCACCCCGATACCAGTGTGCCCAACACACCCCCGTACAGTCACCGGCTTGTTCACGCCCACGAGGCAGGTGCGTGGTGGCAGCAGACAGGCTAGAGCCTGCCCAGGCCACAGCTGTGGGCCCTTGGTTCTTCACATCCTCTTCCTCTCCCCACCCCGAAAGTCCCCCACCTGGCTGCACCTCTTCATCCTCCAGGCCCTGTGGCCAGAGGTCCCTGAGGGTCCCTCTCCCCGATCTGAAGACCAGAGCCAGGTTTTGGCTCCCCAGTGTGGGCAGAGAGGGAGGTGGGGCAGTAACTGCTCTGGGAGGAGCCAGCAGTCCCCAGCCTGACCCAGATGCCAAGTTCCCTCGCACCTCGTCCGGGTCAGTGGTTCGCACACCCGCCCACACAGCTTTCCTTCCTCTAGTCTCTGTTCTGTCCTCCCGGCCAGCTACAGCCCAATGAAGGGAAGGCAGAGACATTCCTGCGCTCCAGCTCCAGCCCTGACACTTAGTAAGACCCGTGCAACATTGTGCAAGACTGCTCAGCTCTCTGTGCCTCAGTTTCCTGGGGAGAGCCCTGAGGACGAGAGCAGACACAGAGCCCTAAGCACTGTTGTCAGGGGTTTATATGTATTAACTCTTTGCATTCTCCAGCTGTCCCCTGAGATAGGCACTGAGACCCCCCCACAACATGTACACTTAACGGAAGACAAGGCTTGTCCTGGGCATTCATGAGGAGGAGATGATGGAGGCAGAGGTCAGGGCTCTGGCAGGCTCTCTGGTGGGTGCTGACAGTTCTTTCCCACCTGCCTTTTTGTTTAGGCCTTGCCTGCCCCTCTCCTGCCGGACTGTTAGGAAACGGACCCCGTGCCCCACCCCGACCCCCCCGGCGCCCTGGGCAGGGCAGAGGGTGCGCCCGGCCACCTTCCCCGGCTTCGCTCTGGCCTCCTGCTTCAGGCCGGCCGAGGCTCCCTGTGCCCCACCTCCCCTCCCAGGACCTGAGGGGCTTGGGTGGCTCCAAAGCAGATTGCCCTCTGCTGCTTGCCTTCGTCTACCCCCACTATCACAGTCTCTGGTAGTTCTGGAATGGAAGGGATCTGGCCACCCCGGGACCTACTGAAGGTCCCTGGTTGGTGGGGGAGGGATGGGGGATACTAGGTAGGGACTCGGGGCGGCCCTGACCCATGAACACCCCACCCCATTTTCCCTGAAGGAATATTCCTAAGGCTCAAGGGCTAGTGCCCCTGAGGAGCAGGGCCCAGGCCTAAACCCCCTCCCCCAAAGCCCCCCTGTCTAACACCCCTGCTGCCTCTGTGTGTGGGTGACCAGAAGTGGAGCGGGGACACAAGGAGAGCCCAGCGCCCTCACCCACCCCTGCGCCTGTATCTAATATATAAATATAGAGATGTGATTATGATGGCCATGGCTCCGTCTGTGTCCGCCGACGCCCCCACCATGACCGTTGCTTTGAGGACTGCCGCACCTGCCTGGCCACTTCCCAGCTGTGTGGTTTTACACACTTCTGGTGACCATTGGCTCCCCAGCTGGCCAGGGTTGAAGATGGGATTGTCAGGAGCGCCACACTCCTGGACAGCGTGGGGTCCATTTTGCCCTTAGTCACTGTCCTCTCCCCTCCCTAATGGCTTCCCGTCGAACTGGCTGGGGGTGATTCGGGGGTGACTCAGGGACATCCTCCACACCCCCGGATTCTCTGGAAATGGCTTGGGCAGCCTGTCATATACCCCAGCCACAGGCCCCTGTGGCGGGGAGGGGGAAGCTCGTAGCAGCCCCAGGGGCAGTGGGGGCCTTGTTTCCCCGCAATGTGGCCCAGGGGAAGCAGGGGTGCCGGGAGCTGGGAAGGGTCTCAAGGTGGGAGAGCCAGAGCTGCCGGAAGCTTCTCCTCCCGCCTCTCCCCCCATCCCTAGCCGAGCCCTGCAGCCTGGCCCCAGGCCAGGAGCAGGCTCAGCAGGTCCCAGGGGTGTGGTGGCGACCGGTGGCGGAGCCAGCCTAGCCTGGCCAGACAGTCCGCTGAGGCAGTACAGTCCATCCGGAACCGCGGCGTTGACGCGGCGGGAGCCCCGAGAGGCAGCGTGGCCATGAGCTCTGTGCTGTATTACGCCCTGCCCGCCCTGGGTAGCTATGTCATGCTCTCCATCTTCTTCCTGCGCCGGCCTCGCCTGCTGCACACACCCCGGGCGCCAGCCTTCCTGCCGCGCCTGGGGGCCCACCGAGCAGGTGAGCTGGGCACAGGGAGAAAGAGAGGATGGTGATGGCGGCCACGTGGGTGGAGTCGGGAAGCAAGGTGCCAGGGTGGACGGCAGTGGGAGAGGTCCGGGACGGCACGCTGTTACAGAGGCAGAGCCTGAGGGAGGAGGAGAGCAGGGTGGCAGGGCGGGATGTGGAAGGGGGAAGGAGAGGCAGGGGGTGTGGGGAGAGGAGGGAGGCCCCTGGGACCCACCCAGTTGCCCCACACAGGATCGGGAGAGCGGCTGGAGCACACCTTGGAGGCCATGGAGAAGTGAGTGTGTGCACCTGCCACCCAGGCTGCCCAGTGAGGTGGGCCCAGTGGTGCACTGTATGACACCAGGGGCACCACTCCGTGGCCCAAGTGACTGGGGCCCCCTGGAGGTGTGCAGCGCAGAGCCTGCACGTCCCGCAGTGAATTCTGCCCCACACTGCCCTCCACCTCCCCACCGCCCTGTGGGCTGGCCTGCCCCTTTCCCTGGGCCTCCCTCCCCCGCACTGACCTTCACTCCCATAGCTCCATGGCCCAGCGTTCCGACTTCCTGGAGCTCGACTGCCAGCTGACCCAGGATGGTGTGGTCGTGGTGTCACACGACGAGAACCTGTCTCGCCAATCAGGCGTGAATAGGGACGTGAGCAGCCTGAACTTTGAGGTGGGCCTCGCCCTAGCCCCACTACTGTACCTAGAGAGCCACCATGCCTCCACACGTGCCTTCTGGTGACTTCCTCCCTGTTCTTCCCAGGAGCTGCCCCTCTACAAGGAGGAGCTGGAGGTTTACTTCTCACCAGGTGAGAGCGTGACCTTACCAAGGGGTGTCATGGCCTCGGCCTCCTGCCCTCTCTTCTTCTCAGGGACTCTGACTCTCCTGCCAGGTTCCCACCCCACCCCACCCCACCCATCCCCTTCTGACCCCTCCTGCACAACCCACTTAGGCCACTTTGCACACGGGACAGACCGGCACATGATGAGTCTGGAGGATGTGTTCCAGAGGTTCCCTCGGTTGCCCATGAGTGTCGAGATCAAATCGGTAAATGAAGAGCTCATTAACAAGGTGAGGCTGCAGACGGGGGTGGCCAGGGGCTTGGGGCTGGAGAGAAGCCTGACTCCCTTTCATCTCTTCCTCCTCCTCTTCCTCATCCTCGCAGGTAGCGGGCCTGGTGAGGCACTTTGACCGCAATGAAATCACCATCTGGGCCTCAGAGAAGAGCTCGGTCATGAGGAAGTGCAGGGCTGCCGTGAGTCCCTGCGCCTTCGCTGCTCCAGCGGCCCCTCCTCCCAAGAGCTGGAGGCTCTGGGGGCCTAGGCTGGACAGGTCTGGGGTGTTGTGGAAGAACTGGCCCTGAGCAGGGTCTCAAAGGGGAAGATTTGGAAAGGAGAGGTGCTGGGGAAAGTGTGAGCAAAGGCGTGCTGGTGGGAAATGGTGGGGGGTGGGGTGGGGAGTGTAGGGTGCCGGTGCAGTTAGGCCTAAACACTGGGCCAAGCTCACACTTTTGATCCTGCGGGCACTAGAGCTTCCTGAATGCCCAGCACTGTTCCCCCCTGGAGCCTGAGGCTCCCATCTGCCTGAGGCTCCCGTCTGCTTTCCCAGAACAGACTGACCCCCCTCCCACTTCTCCTTGCCTCCTAGAACCCCGAGATGCCGTTTGCCTTCACGATAAGCCGAGGATTGTGGTTGGTGCTGGTGTATTATCTGGGGTTGCTGCCCTTCACCCACATCCCGGAGAGGTTTTTCATCTGCTTCCTGCCCACCATCATCAATAGGTACTCCCAGTGTCCCGGTTTCCCTTCTGCATCTCCCCTCCACCCCGGTCCCCCAGATGCTTCTGTCCTCAGATAAAGACCCCCCCCCACCTCAGGCCTCATGACGCAGGGTCCCCAGCTCCCTAGCCATCCTCAGGGATGAACCCCAGGGTCCTCTGAAGACTGGTTCTCAGTGAGCATTCAGGAATACCAAGGTGGGGGGGGCGGGGGGGGCACAAACCCCCTGGAAACTCTATGTGAATGTGTGTTGAGGTGGAAGGAGTCTTAGGACAAAGTATTCACTTATTCATTCATCCAACAAATTTTTATTGAATGTCTACTCTGTTCTAGGTGCAGTTACACTAGTAAATAAGATATGGGTGGGGTAAGGCCCCCCTGAGCTTACAGTCTGGCTGGGAGACAAATATTAACCAATTATAGTATCGGTCTGTGATTCTTGAAAGGAAAAGCAAGCTTCCTCCTGCTGGGGGACCAGGGTTAACAAAGTAACAGCTGGGTAAAGTCCCGCCATTTGGAGACTTTGCCAGCTCTTAAGCCTGCGCCCCCCGCCCCCCGCCTTTCTGAGAACTCTGTGGCAGCTCTGAATGCTTCCTTCTCCCCTCTGCTGGCCTGAGGGAGGCTCCCAGCTAGCCCCCACAATCCTTTGCTACAAAGACATCATTAGACCACAGGTCTTGGTCTACGTAACTTTTATACTGGGTTTGCAAAGTGTCTTCCCATCCTTTAGTTGATTAGAGCTTTACGTTGTGGCAACCCAGAAGTTAGAGGAATCGTGACCCCCACAGTACCCACGGAGAATCTGAAGCTCAAGGAGACTCTGTAATTTGCTCCCAGCCACACAGCTGGAAGTGCAGGACCCGAGGTTGCCTGGGTCCCACTCCAGAGCCTGCGCTGGCTCGTTATATAAAGGGCCTCCACAGTCATCCCTGAAGTGGGCTGATCAGGGCAGGTAGCGGACTCCTTGAGCATTGTCTGGCCATGGGAAGCCAGCGGGCCCAGTCAGGGGACCTTCAGACACTTGCAGCCAGCTTGAGACTCAAGCTACATTCTGGCCTTGGCCCTAGGGCCACCACCAGTGGGCTGTGACACCTTGGGCAGGTTCCTTCAGCTCCCCCAGACTCAGTTTCCACTTCTGTAAAACGGCCAGGAGGGGGCGCTTGCAAAGTATGGAGGCACGGACATGGGAGTAGACTCACGGATCAACGAGGGACCTGTTCTCTGGGGCACCTGCAAAGTGGTGCCAGGGTAACCCTGGTCAGGGGTCACTACCACCCCACCCCTGCGACAGAGTGAGATGCAGGGGACTGACCATGACACCACCTCTCTGCAGGACCTACTTCCCATTTTCCCGCCGTGGGCTGAACAAACTGGCAGCTGTGGTTTCCAAATGGTGAGGGGGTGAGAATGCTGGGTGGCGTGTCCCTATGGAGACCTCCCACTGCCCTGCCTGGTCCCCTCTCGTCATGGCCTCCACCTCCCTCTCCCTACCAGGTTAATCATGAGGAAGAGTCTGATCCAGCACCTGGAACAGCGAGGAGTGCAGGTGAGGCTGGAAGGCCACCCCCTTAGCAAGTGGGTGGTTCGCATCCCGGTCACAGTTCTGCCACCAAAAACCGGTCACCTGGAAGTCTTAGTCTCTTGATCTGTGAAGTGGGGGTAATGGTGTATTTAACTAGTATCTCCTAATGGTTTGGTAAGTGTGAGCCATTATCATCATGATGATGGTGGTGGTGTATTGAACCTACTGTCCCGATTCTTGATGAGAGGGGGAGCGGGGCTGGGAAAGGACCTGAGAAGGGCAAAACCAGCTTGGCCTGCTCCCCGCCCCTCCCCTGGGCAGCCACTTTGACCAGGTCACTGAATTAGCAGACCTTTGTTGAG